ATTTAAATGGTAACCACCAATGTAACTAAAGTTTAGGTTTAGATAACGTGATCGTTTCGTAAAAAAGCATATTATCTAGCTCTAAGTGACATCAAGTACGACGAAGTTTCTCATTAAGACATGGACTAAGATTGCTCGTGTACATGAAATACGTTTTTTTGGAGTATGTTGACTTACAAGTCATAAATGTAAGTAGTTTCGACTAACATTTGACGGCAGTGACAGAATGTATGACTACTCTAAGTGAAAGTAGCCGCAAAATGTTAGACATTATAAACATTATACGAAATTAACTAACTCAATTATGAAACTCGCCTGGATTACTCTTGCTCCAAAGTAATTGAAATTTGTGGATTAACTTCGTAGATTAACGAAACGTTGTAGACTGAATTGGAATAAGTCTAATTTAGGTTGAACACGTAGAATTGCCTGACGAAGTTTAAACAAGATCTAACATTGCAGGAAATTTATAGTTCAAACTCACCGTAAATTTCTAGCATTTGTATCCTCTGATTCGCCATGGAACTCAGCAATTGGAAATTAGGCAGGCAGTGGTCAAGAAAGTAAAATATTCTAGTAGATAGTTTTTGATAGTAGTTAGTTGACAGTGAATAAGCAGAAAGATGAATTTAATAATCGGCAGTTTATCCTGTATTGGTTATACAAGTGGATAAGTTGCAAACAGATATGCGTACGTGTTGCCTTGAGGCCAAACTTACGAGTGGTTGATATTTTAACAGACACATTACACAGGAGCATTGACATGCTGCTAATGCTTGTTAAAGAACCACGATAGTCGATTACAGTCGTAGTTGATTGGTTAGTTCTATCGATTGAACTAATTATTTCAGTTGAAATACTAATCAACATTGATATGAAGCAACGAATGTTCACAGAAACTGATAAAGATAGCCGAAGTTAAAAATGGAAAATAATAAGTACAAAATGTAAAAAAAAGAACATAATGATAGGTTGCGTTATTCGAAGTCTTGCTCACCAGTGTAAGACCATCTACGTTGATGATCTATGTCAAAATGATCGGAGGCCTATTATAGTTAGACGAGAATGGGGACGAACCAATTAACGCTGAAGTCACACCTCGCGACCAGCCCTTACGTGGATTGGACCATCGACGCATCAAAGGATAATAGATGCTATGGAGACTGTACAACACAAAGGACGTTATGACAAGAATATATTAGTTAAGGTACAACTACGGAAGTACAGAAGTGAAAGAATAACCACTGCCGCGTGGGCCAGTCCATGGCGTACGATTGGTTTGTGCGCGTTGACTATCCTCGACCTTGACAGGGATCAGTGATCTGTTCGATATTCAGTGACCCTACAATATACAAGCAAAATCAGATCAAAACATACTATAAAATAGAAAATAACAATTATACAAGATCAAGCCAAAAGTGGCTGTGAGTGCGAGAGACAGTGAGTAATAGATTGGGCATAATTTAAGGATAGTAGATCGTATAATAGTAGTCAGTAGGTCAAATGGAGGTTTATAATAAAGGGAATATGAATATACACACAATATAGTTACCTAATAGTTATATAATAAGAATATATATGATAACAGTTCATAAACAGATGCTAGCGATTCGGATATAACAGTATGTGTATATTAAAAGCCAGGATCAAACGCCTCATGAATTCGTGTCATGAGATCGATATTTGTATTGGTTACCTGGTTTTTCTGTTGGATTAAAATTATAGAAAGCCAGGATAACAAACTCTTAATTAATCGCCCAATCTGGATTTATCAGCTTCCACTAGTAATCTAGCTGTGTTGAGGAGTACCCAATTCAAGTTTCACTAACATCATCATTATCCCTTTTTGAATCATATGTAATGGTGGTATCCATTATTGATTTATAGATCCGACGGTAGTTCATATAGGGTTAAGCCACATAACCCAGATATTTTAAACAGTCATAAATAGTTCCATAAAAAATTCAACATCGCCTACAAAATCTCCTTTCAAGGTATAAGTATCCATGTCCAAATTGAGAACGAAATGTGGTCCAATTAATTATTATCGATTACTGAATCAGAACAAATGAACGAATAATGATATAGAAAGCAATAAAGATTGCTTGATTACGATAGTCTAAATTAACAATAATAAGAACAAATATCGTTCATACTTTTATCGGCTATTCTTGTTGACTCAGAGCTCCAACCACAAATCTTATAATCATCAAGCATGACACTAACTACAAACAGGACAACAAATATAGAGATATTTGCTCCAACAGATAAGAAGTCAATGAGATTTGTACTGGATCAAGGTGTAAATATTTTGATAATAATAATATTATTATCCAAAAGTAAACATATAAAAATGAGTTACTAATATACAAAAGGAAAATATATCTCTATATGTAGGTTATTTGCAAAGTACTGATGGCTAGGTGGTCAATAGAGCTTAAAGATAAGTTTATAATTATAATAAACAACTGATGGGTATACTCTGAATTAATGATGTATGGTTGATCGGATGATACTGAGAGTCACAATCTATAAATATATATAGCAAGTATACTAATGAAATGTGTTATATGACAGTAAATTGAGAGATGTAACGAGATATGACATATGACGGTGTGTATTCAGTGAACGGTGATCAACATAACATGCAAAATGTGTACACGGAAGTTCAAGTTTAGTTTAAACAACAATTTATAGACAATGATTGTACAAATTAAATGGAACTACGGAAAGTATGAATAATAACAAAAAAAATTATTTACAAATTAACTATATATTAACAATCTATACAGATTGAATCAGATCAGTGTTATCAACACGTTAGCTTCATTGATATATTTACGTATTCACTGAAGAGTTAAGAAGATGGAGTTGCTAAACATTAATATAGAGAAGTCATGGATTTGACGTTTCTAGTTCACCAATTTTTTTCAGCAAGTCACTAATAAGGTCATTGGTGTTGAGAGTTTACTTTGAGAAGAGTAAATTGAAACGAAAACTTATTGATTTATACGTTGTACAAAATCTGATTAGGAAAAAGTACTCAGTTGATGTGTTTCACAGTCTTTTACTCTGTGCTTTTCATAGGATTTCAGATAAACGTCGTCCAATGTTGGATTTTGTTTAAAAACTCGAAAGTTTTGCTTTTGGCTTTTATTGGTTCATCTCTGTATTATGTTTACACCGAAAAATCAGTCAGCGTACTCTTTTAAATAGTGAATATATATATATATATAATATATATATATATATATATATATATATATATATATATATAATGCCACCTATTGCTTTTCTAGGGCTACTACCTGTCCCAATCTCTGGTAAAGGAGGAAGGTTGGGCGTGTGGTCGGCAACCCCATCCCGTTGAAAACAACCTAAAGAACGCCAGCCAAAATGAACAGTTTAAAACATTTAAACTCTGCCCTCCCAGTTGAAAAAAAAGTTGAAAAAAAAGACTCATCATGATGAAAGCCTCGATTCTTAGGAAGTCACGACGCCGATTACCCTTCTAACAACCATAGCAACAGTTTCTATAGGTACATGGAATGTCCGGACGATGTGGGAGACTGTCAAATTGCAACGGAAATGAGGAGATACAACTTGAAGGTTCTTGAATCAGAGAAACCCGTTGGACCCAAGTTGGACAGCAAAAGTTAGGTAAAAGAGAGATGCTGTTGTATTCCGGTCACGATAAGAAAAATGCTACTCACACTCAGGGAGTGGCTCTGATGCCTACCAAACAAGCATGAAATGGCCTTATAGGATGGTAAACTCATGGATCCAGGATTATCAAACCATCCTTCAAAGCAAAGAAGGAGGGAATTACGATGAATTTCATCCAATATTGTGTACCCACCAATGATAGCAATAACGACGATAAAGATAAGTTTTACTCGCGGTTGCAATCGATCATAACGAGGTGCCCAGGAAAGGACCCGACAATCCTGATGGAAGATCTAAACGCCAAAGTCGTGATGGACAACAACGGATATGAAGATATCATGGGACAACATGGACTGGGAGAGAAAAATGAAGATGGGGAGAGTTTTGCAAATCTATGTGCATTCAACTTAATTTGTTCCTTAATAAACCTTGATTGATTATCATCAATATTAGATATTAGACATCTTTTTTGACTAGGCTAACTCTACTATAACCATTTAGTTCTATCGAAAAATCCTTGTTGAACGAAATCATTAACAAGAAAAAAAATCATAATTATTATCAATATCATCCTTAAAATCTCACTGAAATGATCAAAAATTTTCTCTTGAATCAGGTTACAACTCATCTGAAAACTTGTTTGTTTGTTGTTCACACTAACCTATTATATCTGTGACAATGAGATTAGTGTTTGATATGTCAAGAAAAAAAAACGAAGGAATAAATTTAAATTCACTTAGTATTGTTTATTTAAATCTTCCCATTGATGTTTAGGACCAAATTTAATCAATCTCTTATTGGCATATGTACATACTGTGCGTTTTTACTAGTCGCTTGCACAAGCAAGTAGCTATCAGAACTCAATAGCTGAGTGGATAACGTGATGGTGTTTGAAGAAAACGATACTGAGTTCAAGTCCTAGAGTGAATATCAACTCTGAAATACAGGTACATCTAGCTGACGATCCAGAAATAGGACGAAAAACTCACCCTAGATTCCACTACTAGTCATTATTCGTTTTTGCTTATAATAAGGAATAAATTGTCATAACAACCAATCGGATTAAAATACTTTTTTTTCTCCCCCTCACACACACACACACATAAAGAATGAGCTCTTAAGAAATATTATTTCTGCTTAAAAATGATTGGTTAATTGGTTCATTCCTATATTTACTTCTAAATATAAACAATCATTTATAATTTTTTTTTAAAAAAAAACATTTAAAATTAGAAAAAGTTTATTATTATTATCTAAATTGTTTATTTACATTTTATTGATTCTTTATTGATTTATTGATTTTTTTTTGTATCGTATTAATCAAATTAAACATAATGAATTCATTTATGATATCATCAATTATGAATTTAAATAAATCATCATATTCTGATACAATTGAAACTTATAATATCAATAATAATCAATATTATAAAATATTGAATTTATCGAATTCTATATTAAATAATAATAATAATAATAATAATCAAGAATTTAATAATGATAATACATTATTAAATTTTAATTATTTTAATAATAATAAATCAATATTAACAAATGTATCAAATAAAAATTTAAATCAAAATATTGATTTATTGAATCAAATAAATGATAATAATGAATTTATGATAAATTATCAAAATTATTTAAATTTATTTATAAATCAATTATATTCAAATAATACATTAATCAATAAATCAATAATTGATGATTATCATGATCATCATAATCATCATCATTTATTATGTAATAAAAATATTAATTCATTAAAAGAATTAAATCATAACAAAATGAATAACAATAATGAATATTTAAATAAAGGTAAATGAAATGAATAATTAACTCTATGAAATTGATTGAAATTTTATGATTTTTATTTTATTTTTTTACAAATAGTTTTATTTATTTATTTATTTAAACACATAAATATTGGTACAAAGAGGAACCAGATGTATATGTGCCGCACAAATCTCATTTAATTTGTGTGAGGGATATGATACTACCTAGGTGCCAAAACTGAAGCAGGTGGTTTTCTTAGGTGGCCACACCCGAAGCATTTGACCTAGAGGTCTGATCCACAAGGCAGTGGAGCATCGTAAGGAGATGCATTCCCATGGTAGCCGGTGATCAACGATTGATTCATACATCATTTGTTCCTTCAGGATATTGGAGCCCGTGTGCACCAATGGTTTGGAATCAGGGTTTTTCTACTCCCCTAGATGGACTCGCTGTGTCCACCAATCCGTTTAAAGCGCTGGACATTCGCTTTTCGTTCTCTCAATTTCGTAAACAACAGTAATGCCACTGTGAGAATGCAGTGAGTAGGACTTCCCTGACAGAGGCTATATAAACGTGGCCATTTAATACTGACTGATTAATGATATGGCATCCACCGAGATAGATGATATTAATGATTTTCATCATGTATGATAGCATAAATAATTCTTGTCGGAAAGATTTTCTAGTTAAAATGAAAACATATATCATACGATGATTTGTGGTTTTCTATATTTCTTAAATTAATGTAGAACTAATGACGGAAATGATCTAAAAACCGGAATTTTCTAACATTTCTTTAAACATTAAGCTAGATTTTTTAAATGATATTTACTTAACTGATTGCTAGATGGTCATAAATTAAATGATTCATTAATGTCTCCTTATCTTTTATCAATGATTTGCACTAGAATGGAACTCCCTGTTATTATGCTTCAGGAACCATCCCAGGGATCGAATATAAGACCTGTAATTCATATAGGAAGTAGTTTACTTTTAAACTACTGACTTAGGATCTAGTAACTTATCTTTCTAACTTTTAATCAACTTAGAATATTCCGCAACTATCAACGCGGTTATTTAATAATTTATACAAACCTATGTATCACATAAAAAAAGGTAGAAATGAATGGGACTACATATTTGTCTAATTTGTTGTTTTATGAAACGAAACTATATTTTAAAATTTAGGTTTTTATCAATGTACGGAAGTTAGTTGAATAGTTTGAAGATACTTCCTAAAATAGGATTTTGTCTTCGGCAAGATAATTATGTAATCAATTAACCAAGTGAAATTATACTGTACTATACCATTTCTATGTGGTAAGAAAAAAATCAGTCCGCACGAATAACTCGATTTTGTTTCGGATACAGATCATATTTTATTTTGATTAGTGAAATATTTGGTTTATCTAAATAAGTTAATAAGTAGTTTTTGTTTTAACTGTCAATGTTGTTGATATACATCACTGTTAGGTTTTATCTAGTTCTATGGCAGATATATTCAACAATTCACTATCTACAGTCATTTTATTAATAATAATAGGTTTTCACAAGTAATATATAAATAACTCTGGTTTTTAATTTATTATTTGCACTCCCTCCCACGTCAGTGAATACTTTCTCACACCCTTCTTCTTTACACTCTACAAACCTATTGCCCAACAATAATAATATTTTAAAGAATAATGTAATCGATTATTATTATTTTAAAATGAATATAAGAATGAATATTTATAATTGATTGATCATTGAGTAATGACCACTCTCATATGTGTTAGGTTAGTGTAGATCGAATTCTATTGATCAAGTTGCAATGTGATTGCTAGTCTAGGTGACTTGATATCGCGTGCAGTATATCGAGATGTAAGTTGGTGGTTGAAGATAGTCAACAACCACTACCATACATAAAAATTAACTTATGCAGTAATTACCTTTTTTAATAGTAATGAGTTCAAGGAATCCTGTTTAGATTCAAGTTCAAACTTGGTTTAAAGCCAGAGATAATTTACTTTTCAACATTCTATATCTCTATATATTTTGGTTAGATTCGAATAAATTTCTCTTTAGTCTTTCTTAAGGAGTAGATGATGAGGAGAATATGTCAACAAATGTAGTGGTTTAGTATTTTATATCTCAGTAATTTGTAAGTCTTTCGTAATATCGTGGATTTCCGATAATTAGAATTCATAATTATTCGATTTGAATAAATCTAATACGGTAAGGTTTATTGTAGTATATTTATACGGTTGACAAAATAATTAACCTAAATGTGTGATTTAGTTTATAAAATTCACAAAATCAAACAAAAACTTTATTAATATCAGAAGTGGTTTTTTTGGATATTATAGTAATGTTATATAATTGAGATCATGAGTCAATTGAAGCTAGATCACCATGGAAAACCTGGAAGCACTTGACGGCCAACTCGTTCTATTGTGGGACTCCTCAGCAGTGCGCATCCACGATCCCGCCTCGCGAGATTTGAACCCAGGAAGTATCAGCCTCGCGTAGTTCAGTGAAGGGATCTCTTTTCAAAGAATTTATTATAAAGCTGTACAATCGCACATTTATATTTCCTGGAGTTCTAGTGAGAAGCAATGACCAGTGGAGTCCAACCACGTCTGTTGTGAGATATCTACTCACTGAATACAATTGGTGAACGGTTGCTCAACTTTGTGGATTGGTTGAAGTTAGACATCAACACCTTTGAATCCCGGTTCGGTGGTCTAGTGGTTAAGCGTTCGCGCGCGAAACTGATAGGTCCTGGATTCAAATCTCGCGAGTCGGGAACGTGGATGCGCACTGCTGAGGAGCCCTACGATGAGACGAAACGGCCATTCAGTGCTTACAGGTTTTCCATGGTGGTCTAGCTTTAATTGATTCATGATCTCAACTATTAAAAAAACTTAATTTTTATTTCTTTTGTTTTAACATATTTTTTTATAGAATTTATATATTGATTTCATTTTAAATTTGCAGATATAAATACACTTCAATCAACTTCTAAACTCTCAAATCTTATGAATTCATCTACTGATAGATTATTAAATAATCATAATTATCAAAATCATCATCCTAATAATAATATTGAATATTTAAATGATAAAGAAAATTGTTTAAATGAATCCCTTGAATATGAACATCAAATAAAATTAAATAAACAAAATCAAAATTCATTTAGAAATCGTACATCATTTACAGATTATCAATTAATTTGTTTAGAACGTGAATTTTCTCATATACAATATTTATCACGTATTGATCGAATACATTTAGCGCAAAATTTAAATTTAACTGAAAAACAAGTTAAAATATGGTTTCAAAATCGTCGAGTACGTTGGAGAAAAAGAAATTTATTTTAATTTTTAAAAAAAAGGATGAAATAGAAAAGAAGAAATAAAAAAAGAAAAAAAAACCCGACAACTTTTTGTTTTTCTCTTCTCTCTCTTCTCTCTTTTTTTTTTTTAAAAAAAAAATAATTTTCTATTTTTCAAATTGTTAATAATGATAATCAAGAATATTGAATGTATCAAAGAATATTGATTATTGTTTATTTTTGTAATAAAATTTGATGTGCTACTTTTTTCTAGGAATAAATTTTGAAGAAATTAGTTGAATATTCAGATCGTTTTTCTCCTAAGAAACAAAAATGTAGAGAAGTAATTCAGTGGAGCTTACTTCAAACTTGTATTCATATACTTGTTATGATATTTGATTCAGTCAATATTAGACAATTCTGAAAAATTTAAACGAAGCATTTATATAAAACTGAGATAATTAAGAATCGTTTGTTCGGATATTTATTATATTGGAGTGATCTAGGAAATATATATTTATATGGTCAAGAACCTTAGGTAAATGAATAACTTGTCAATCTAAAACAACTTGGCCATTCTTGTATTTTATAGTTTTATGTGACATTAAGATAGTGTGTGATCTATCTGGAATCATCTGGCTTATTATCTCTTGATTGATAATATTGATAAAATGCATTAATAAGTTACTTAAAATGCTTTGGATTTTTGAGTAAAAGTTGATAGATACACAAAATCTTTACTTGTTGTGTTATTTACATTAATATCAGTTCATTCCTTTTCCAGTTATCTAAGATTAGTTCACAAAAAGATCATGCTATTAAACATTGTTCACAAAATTTATGTCGACATGACAATCATTAGTTCGTAGCTACGAGATTTTATTGAAAAGCTATGACTGACAGAATTTAACCATGTAGGACCAGTGGAGTCCAATCCGTATCGGGTAGAGACAGATATCTATCCCAGACAAAGAGTGAATGGTTGCGTAAGATCATAGATCGATTGAATTTAGACATCAACACCTTTGAATCGCGGTTTGGTGATCTAGAGGTTAAGCGTTCGCTCGCGAGACCGAGCATCCTGGGTTTGAGTCCCTCATGCAGGATTGTAGATGCGCATTGCTGATGAGTCTCATACTGGAATGAAACAGCCATTCAGTACTCCTAGGTTTCCCATTACGGTCTAGCTTAGATCGGCTCATGAATTCAACTATTAAAATTACTACAATCTCAACAACAACCTATTATGATGTAGGAAATAAGAGAATTATCCATGTTTCCAATGTGTGATCTCTGTATTATCAAGTGAATCTCATGATGTTGGAGATAGGATTACGACTCAATGTACTCGATGATAAAAAATATGTAGGTTATTGGCTTGTCTAGAGTGAGTAATACCAATGAGTTATAGAACTGAATGAAATGGTTTTTCACTGCTTCTTAATCTTCAACAGCTTTTCAAAGGATATCAATCTGTGAAGAGAATTCATTTTGAAAATTAAAAATTTCTGTACAATTTTGTAATTGTCAATAATAAAAACATGATATTACATGATACTACATGCATCTAATATCCAAAATAAAATCACCCCGTAGGCATTTTTATTCTTTGTAAATAGTAAAAGAAACACTAACATATTTCTCCGTACGTAACTAAATTTACTGTAGAATTAAAATAGTAATACAATGGGTTAAGTCATATGTGAATATATTTGTATTAAGTGATGTGTGTGTGCAAATGACCATTTTTACTACAAGTAAACAGATCATAAATAAAAGTGATAATAAAACAATCGAGTTTTCACACTACTTTCCATTGTAACTAATCCGGTTATTTTATGTCCTCACCTACCCCCCCCCTGAACCACTACTATCACAACCATCGTGAAGATCATGAAACTAAACTTTTGTGATTAAGTTTTCTTACTTTTTAGTGATCATCAAAGTAAAGAAATTTAACATAGATGAAAGTTTTAATCGAAATTAAAAAGAAATCGAGAAAATGCTCTTACCTCCCCCTCTACTACTTTAATGAAAAAATAAATCGCTTGAAAAAATAAGTACAAAGGGAACTCACTAAAAAAAAAATATTTGTTGTTTTTTTAATAAATAAAAAGCTGAAAAAAAATCATTGAAATAGAGAATTGAGCATATGTCATAATTGGATAACTAAACAAATGCGTAGGTGGATGAATACAGACGGGTGTGTGTGTGTATGTGTATGTATGTTCGTCTATGCGTAGATGAAATAGACATCATTTGATTGGTTAATAACTACTAAGGTAAATTCAGTATTTCACACGGGATCAGGTGCAAAAAATGGGTAAATAAGTCAGTATTTATTTTTTTTTCTTTACAAATATTTCAACTGAGATGAATCACTAAAAGAGAAATATAAAATAAATACTAAATTGTATATATATATATATATTAACCCAATAGATTGCCTATATTATAACCAAAGATATGATGAGAGAATATTTTTTTCTTCATATTTAGTAACCAAGTCTTTGTAAATAATGATAGAAATAAATAAAATGTATGAATAAAGCTTAAAAAGGAAAACAAAATACTCATGATACTAGTAAATAATAAACATTAAATCAATGAATGATGAAATCAATAAACAAATAATTTTGTAGAAGGGGTTTTTGTGGAGATTTAGTATTTATCATTGTTGAAAGCGTGAGTCAATTGAAGCTAGACCACTATGGAAAACCTGGAAACACTGGACGGCCGTTTCGTCCTATTATGGGACTCCTCAATTGACTCACGCTTTCAACTATAGTAAATACTAAATCTCCACAAAACCCCTTCTATAATTAATATAATCATATGCTCACTAGTGATTTCGAGAAGTATATCTAGGAGCTCTAGTGAGAAGCAGTGACCAGTGGAGTTCAAAACCACGTCTGTTGTGAGATAGGAACTCACTGAAGACAATTGGTGAATGGTTGCTCAACTTCGTGGATTGGTTGAAGTTAGACATTAACACCGTTGGATGCCAGCTCAGTGGTCTATCGGTTAAGGGCTTCGGCTCGAGACTGGTAGGTCCTGGGTTTGAATCTCGCTCGCGAGAGCAGGTTCGTGGATGCGCACTGCTGAGGAGTCCCATAATAGGACGAAACGGCCGTCCAGTGTTTCCAGGTTTTCCATGGTGGTCTAGCTTCAATTGACTCACGCTTTCAACAATGATAAATAATTTTGTTTTTATTACATTTTCTTCTTTTTATTTTTTTATTGTTAAACATATTTTGGTTACAGTAAAGATTGAAGAATAAAATAATTTTATAGCTAGCTAGTTGAGCAAAAGAAAACAAAAAAAAAATTCATATCATTCTATATGCATATAGGAACTATAAACCAACAATTATTTTTATTAAATTATAATAATCTGCTATTTTATCACAATAAAAGTCTTCAAAATCTTTATTTAAAGTGTTTATTCAATTAACAACCTTCTTGATCTGATCGACATTTTTTAGATTGATGTAAAAAAGCACACAAATATATAAAAACACACTTGAAGTAAGGTATTGATTCGAGGTAGTCGACAAGAAACCTTGAACCTATGTTTCGTGCTATTTGGCACTTCTCAGTAAGGTATATATGTAATCTTGAGGGAACTGATACACCTTAGACGATTCAATCCTGCTTCATCCAGCTTCAAAATCAGCGACAGTATCATTGAGTCATTCGGAACGTGACTGACTTTCTGTAGGAATGAAATGTATTTACAATTGACTAATCGCTGAGTAGTGATGAATGTGATGTATGTCAAATCCTTGTTAGTACTAATCGCATTCTATCGACCAAGTTGCAATGTGGCCACTAACTGACTTGAGATCACATATAGAATATTGATATGTAAGGTGATGGGTGACGACATATAACATTGGTCATTACTCAGCAAGTATTTATCTTTCTATGGTGCTTACCAAGTTTATGAATTATAATAAATGTAAGTGGTTGATGGTTGCCTGTAAAAAAGAATATTAATGATTTTATTATCATTAACAAGAGTATAACTAAATTCAATGTAAGTTCTAATATGGCTGATATAAAATGTTAAATATTATTGAAAATACCACTCTTATCTCTACGGATACAAACTTTAAATAAATACTAGATCCTACTTCTATCAATATATTCTTTCAAATTCATTCATTACACCAAATGATCTGTTATGTAATTATTTATTCCATGTCATAAAATTAACATGATCATTTCTCTTTAATAATGGATTCTATTGTGTTATGATTTTTGCCCTGCTAATAATCATATAACAATATCGCCAATTAGTACACCGACTCATACGCCCTTGGCCCTGTATCAAACCGATTACGCCTTAAATAGCACGAGGAACCTAGAGAAAACTATGAATCCTTATTGGTTTTACTTGCTTAACCCTATCCGTTAAGTTGAGAACACGATCTCAGCTTCCACTGTATGAATCATGTATTTCAGACAAACATACTTTATATACAAGCAAACCAGACCACATCATATCATAAAATAAAAAAAATAACAATTATACAAGATCAAGTCAATAGTTGCTATGAGTGTGACAGACTGTAAGTAATAGATAGGGAATAACTTAAGGATAATAAATAGTATAATAAATAAATTCAACTTAGTATTGTTTGTTTGAATCTTCCCATCGATGTGTTTAGGACTGCAACTGGTCAGTCTCTAATTGGCATATGTGCATACTGTGCGTATTGCCTCGATATACCTTAATTCACAAGCATGGTTAGCAGAGATGGATAGTGGCTAGCAGTGGAATCCAGGACGCGCGTTTCGTCCTATTTGAGACTCGTCAACTGGATGTACCTGCATCTCAGATTTGATGTTCACTCTGGGACTCGAACCTAGTACCCTCGCTTCAAACGCCATCGCGTTATCCACTCGGCCACTGAGTCCTGATAGTCAATAGGTCAAAACAGGCTGATAACAAAAGGAGTATGAATATACTTATAGTCTAGTTATTTAATAGTTATCCAATACAATTATATGTAATAATAGTTCATAAACAATTCCTACCAGTTATCAATCATTTATTCTTCGTTAAAATATAACATATTGATTGATGCAATTTATCTTGCTTTGTTTTATGGGGATATCTTTAAACTTATATCAATTAAGGTTTATATTTGTATAATATGTAAGAGAATCTCTTTTTTTTAACAAATTCATTATCAAATTATATATATACGATATATTAAAGTTACATATCCATTTGAGCACTTACCCTAATTCTCTATACAATCTTATCTCATTTATTTCCATTCTTTACCACTACTACTGTTATTATCATATCAGTTGAATAATCAAAGGTGATGAAACACAGTTAATTTCCCCCCCTTCTCCTTAATGATGTTAATCAATTAGCTAAATACTTTTTGTTTTAATTATTACATAGATAATTAGTGAATTTATCAAAGTTATTTTTCTAGTTTAATGATTTTCAAATAAAAAAAAAAAGATTATCAGAAGGGGTTTTGTGGAGATATAATATTTTGATAATTGAAAGCATGAGCCAATTGAAGCTAGACCACCATGGAAAATGGCCACATAGTGCTTTCAGGTTTTCTATGGTGGTCTAGATTCAATTGACTCACGCTTCCAACTATAAAAAAAGAATCTTTTTTTCTTTTTTTTTCTCATATCAAAGTTCTGAACAAATATGGACACTCAAAAACCCATTCATTCATGTTTACTTCTTTTTTTTTTGTTGTTGTTGTTGTTGTTGTTGTTGAAAATTATTAATTCCT